ATTATTATTATTATTATTATTATTATTATTATTATTATTATTATTATTATTATTATTATTATTATTAGGACTTTCATTCGTCACTCCTAAGCATTAAATGCAAGGATATGCTTTACTAAACCACATTTCGCTATGATATAATGTAAAAAAAATATATACCATATATAAATATATGTACAGTATTAATAATTTTTGCCATTTTTCCGATTTCTTCTGGAGCGAATTATTATCAGCCATGGCTCTATATTAATCAATATTTTGCTGTGGTGTACTGTAATAAAAAATTAAATATTAATATATTCGTAATTTTTATAGATATATATGTATATATCCTATCACTTTACATTTTTGTCTGTCCTTTCTAGATTTAAGTTCATCATTAGTTCTAGAATAGTAAGATATATGCTGGAATCACACTCACATATTATATGAAAATCTATTTTTGTGGAACTTTATGCATTCTTTCAAAATGCACCAAGCTAGATACTTTTTAGCAAGTTGATGAGATTGAGTTGATTGAGTCTTTTTGTCATGTCTCAGTAGCTATTTAAATAACATAGCAATGACTCTTACTAATGCCTCGTCTTGCCCTCATCCCGCATCTTCCCACCTTTGTTCACCTTGCCTTCGTTTCTCCCATGTCCCGTCCCTTCACCCCCTCCCCTCGATGCCCAGATAGGTGGTCGGCCGGGATGAAAGAGGCTACGCTATGCAGCGCTACTCCAAGGTGGCTCTGTCGTCAAGGGAGCCGCGCCCTGTGGTTGTCACATGTCCGGCCAAGATTGAAGTCCGCAGAGGAGCCAGTGCCACATTGGTTTGCTCCATATCTAGCGAGGTGCAATACACAGTGGTCTGGTATAAGAACGACAAGCGTCTGGCAGGTTATTCGGAGGAGAACAAGAAGTATAGGTGAGTAGAAGAGTCAAATCAGATCTTGTTGCCATGTGAATTTTGCTTTGGCTACTTTAGGTACCCATACCAGTCTAAAGGCCAGAGGCGGCAAAACTAGGCTCCTTTCAACACTTTTGGGGAAGACATTGTCCACAGGCTTAGGCAAATATCTTATTCCGAATTAAAGATCCTTTTCCACAATGTCTCAGCATCATAATATTCTATTTTTGGTCAGCCACTGTTGCACAAAAACGGGAAATATCCATACCATAGCCTAAATCATAATTTGTATGAATACTTGGTATCACAAGGCTGGGAAAACAAGAAAAAATCGCTCAAAACAAATCTCTTCAAGGTACCGTCAAGTAAATGACTTCATTATTTCAATCAAAACATAACACTTGACGCCTTTCCAG